TTCTTTTTATTCTCTCTATTAATATCTTGATATCTGGGTTTGTAGTTTGAGACCAGTCATTCTGTGGGCTCTTCAATGTTTGCATTCCGAAGTCTGTTTTCTCACTCTCTGGCCTCCCAGGGATCTGTGTGCCACCCATATTCTTCTTTTGGTTTTTCTTCATATGTTTAGATTTTCCTCCCTCCCCCCTTTCTTTAATTTTGTTGTTCAGGTATGGCAGGGTTACTTCTACTTCTATTTGCTCAGTCTCCTATTCTTGTGTGGATCCTCTGACTTTTTTCAGTTCTGAAGCTGGGCTGTTGGTTGGGTGCTATACTTTTGCAGTTCTGAGATTTAATTCAGGGGGAACTGTGATTCAAAATATAACTGTAGATCCCAGTATCCACTGACAGGTGTATGGGCACCCTGGAACTCACCTTCTACTGCCTTACAATCTGTCTATGCAGCAGGAGTATAGATTTGCTCCTTGGAAGCATAATGAGATAAGAACAAGGAAAATAATGGAAAAATGAAGGTGGAGAAGGTAAGAGGAAGATGGAGAGAGAGAAGAGTAAGAGGGAAAACAGACAGACATAACAAGTAACAAATGAAAAGAGACAGAAAAGATTTAAAAAAAAAAAACTAAAACATACAGATAATCCTAACACATAGTCCAACAAAAAGCTTCCTATTGATGTACTTTTCCCATCCACAAACAGGAAGTCTAAAGGATAGAGAAAGAAAATCAGTAAAATAACAGAAACAAAGCAAATACAAAAATGTTATCAAAACCAGAAAGAAAGAGAAGAAAAACTAAAACATAAAAACAAACAAAAATGAGGAAAACAGACAAAAAATGAAAATTAAAAAATGAAAACAAAGAATCAAATTCTCTCTGAGGTCGTTCCTGTAAGTCCAACATCCTTTCAGCTTTGGTCTTGAGCCCCTCTCCTCTGCTCTTAGCGCAGGCAGATAGGGTTGTGCACTGCTTGGGTTAGATGCCCCAAGCCAACTTTGGAAGGAGGGTGGATCAGATCTGGACTCACCCAGCTTGCAGCCTGTCAAGTCTGCTACTCAGATCTGACCTGTCTGTGTCTGATCCAGCATCTGAGAGGGGCTTCTTTCTCTCCCAGTTTGATGAGATCACCTTAGGTCCCAGTTTGGAGCCTGGGTGCAGCTGGGCTGGGCTGGGCTATTCAGATCTCTCCTTAGATCCCAAGTTGGAGGCTGGGAGGAGCTGGGCGGAGCTAGGTGGGGCAATGCAGGTCTCTGCCAGAAGGTGGAGGAGCTGTGCCCACGTTCCTGGGCAGCTGCATTGCCCTAGGGCAGCGGCAGCAGCACCAGGTGCCGCTGGCCTGCGTACCTACCATGACCCAAAGTATGTCTGTCTTGTCTGTAAAATATACCTAACTACAGAAATATTGTCATTTTGAAACATTCTTCTATTACCCTTTATGAAATGTGATGGATTGAAAGTTAGTATATTCAAAATAATATGGATTTACTCTTTGAATACCTGAGTATGTTTTTCATGAAAAAGTGTAACAGATTGTTTTTTATACTTACTTGAACAGCACTTTTAACCCACATGTAGATTTCAAAACCTCTAAATGTTTGATTCGATCATTAGAGAATACAGTATTTACAACAAATATGTGGCTATTTGGTTAGTGGTGACTGGAACTATTGTTTCACAGTTGTGTAATAGTGCCCACCCTGCTTGGTGATATTAGCATTTATTAGATCAATTTATTTTCAAATTTTAATAACAGTATCCATTTAGTACTACTATTTTGTATAAGTGGGTTTAACAATTTTTACCATAAGCTCACTATACCAAAAAAAGACACTGCATGTTTATAGCAGCAAAATGCCCAGAAGTTGATCAGTGGATAATGAAATCGTGGCATATATATACCATAGAATGCTATTTAGCCATAATAAAGAACAAAACAATGTGTTTTGCAGCAACTTGAATGGAATCGGAGATCATCATCCTAATGAAGTAATGCAGAAATAGTAAACTAAATACCATATATTCTAACTTGTAAATTAGAGCTAAGTTAAAGGTCTGCAAAGGCATATATAATGGTATAGTGGACACTGGAGACTCAGATAGGGGAATATGGGAAAGAAAAGTCACCAACGGGTACAGTGTGCACTAATGGGGGTGATGGGTACACTTAAAGTCCAGACTTCTTCACAAAGCAGCCATGTAACTGAAAACCATTTGTACCCCTGAAGCTACTGGAAAAACAAAATAAAATATATATACACACACATGTATTTATGAATGAAAATAAAATGGAGAACAGGGGAAAAAATTAGACCATAAGTGACTTTCATGGAAACTTTTACTAGTCATTGTTTCAAAGAATTTTAAAATTTGGTCTACATTTTGAGCCATTTACTTAAATTGGTAGAATTCTACAGCAATTTTACTTAACCATTTTCTTCTGACAACTACTAATGTACAAAAGAAAGGCAAAGTAGTTCAAATAAGTACAAAATTAAATTGGTATGTATGTTTAAAAAGTTATAACAGGTCATTTATTTTTATAAAACTATTAACTTGGCAATATACATAGTGAAGAGTTAAGTACCCACCTCTTACTTATTCATCTTCATTTCTGTTTTATTTTCCTGAGAGATTGCTTCTGTCAAAGGCTTGCTTTCTTGGTCTTTCTATAACATTTTTTGTGTATGGGAAGATACTCATACATACTCAAAGTTACACACTGTTTCCAAAACATATTTGGATTATACCACAAATATATTTTAGTTTTTACACTTCATGTTATCAAAAATTTGCTCTGTCATACCTTCAACTGTACTTCATCTTTAAATTGTTAGATTATAATCTTTATTTCAAGTATTCAAAAATTAATCTAACCATTTCCTTTTTAATGGACAAATTGTTTAACTTTTTTCCTCCCCTTTCCTTCTTCTTGCCTTCCCCTTTCCTCCTTTGTACACCTTTCCTTCTTTTCTTTGCTATTACAAATAGTGCTGCTGATGCTGAGCATCTTTTGTAAGTTTTGTGCGTGCACTCTCGCATGTTGTAGTGTTTCTATAGCATAGATTCTTAAAAATTGGATTATTCCATAGAGTGTGCATGTTTAACTTTTTTCAAATTCAATAAAATTTTGTTTTTGTTTTTACTTTTCTATTTTTTAAATTCAAGGGGCACATGTGCAAGTTTGTTACTTATGTATATTGTGTGATGCCATCACCTATGTGGTAGGCATCATACCCAATGGGTAGGGTAGTTTTTCAAACCCTTTGCTCCCTCCCTTATTTTCCCAATAAAGAGTCTCCAATATCTGCTTTTCCCTTCTTTATGCCTTGTGTATTCAGAATTTACCTCTCACTTATAAATCAGAGCATGTCTTATTCGGTTTTCTGTTTCTGTGATAATTCACTTAGAATGATGGTCTCCAGCTGTGTCCATGTTGCTGCAAAGGACATAATTTCATTCTCTTTTGTGGCAGCATAGTATTCCATTGTGTATTTGTACAACATTTTCTTTATTTAGTACACTACTGATTAGCACCTAGGTTGGGTTCATGTTTTTGCTATTATAGATAGTACTGCAATAAACATACACATGCAGGTGTCTTTTTGACAGAATGATTTATGCTCCTTTTTTGGATATTTACCCAGTAGTGGGTTTGCTGGGTCAAATGTAAATCTGTTTTTCGTTTTTTAATAAATTCCCAAACTGCTTTCCAGAAAGGTTGAACTAGTTTGCATTCCCACCAAAAGTGCATGTGCATTCCCTTTTCTCTGCAACCTTGCCAACCTCTGTTGTTTTTTGACTTTTTAATAATAGTCATTCTGACTTGTGTGAGATCGTGTCCCATTGTGGCTTTGATTTGCATTTCTCTAATTATTAGCAATGTTGAACATTTTTTCATGTGTGTGTTGGTCCCTTGTATGTCTTCCTTTGAGAAGTGTCTGTTCATATCCTTTGCCCATTTTTTAATGGGGCTGTTTTTTTTCCTCTTGATTCATTTGAGTTCTTTATAGATGCTGGATATTATTTTTTTTGTTGGATGCGTACTTTGCAAATATTTTCTCCTATCCTATAGGCTGTCTCTTTACTCTGTTAATGGTTTTTTGTTGTTATTTTGCTGCCTAGATGCTCTTTAGTTTGATTATGCCCCACTTGTCAATTTTGGTTTTTGCTGCGTTTGGTTTTGAGGTCTTAATCATGAATTAATTGCATAGACGATGTCCAGAAGAGTGTTTCCTAGGCTTACTTCCAGGATTTTTATAGTCTGAGGTCTTATGTTTAAGTCACTAATCCATCTTGAGTTAGTTTTTATATATGGTGAGAAGAAGAGGTCTAGCTTTATTCTTCTGCTTATGGTTAGCCAGTTTTTCCAGAACCATATGTTAAATAGGGTATCCTTTCCCCAGTGCATTTTATTCGATATTTCAATAAGTAGAACTTTGCCATCATTTCACAAGTCCACCTTCTAGTCACCAATCCCTGACAACAGTAATGAATGCTCTCCTGATATCTAACAAATTAGGTTTGCTTACCTTTGAATAGTTACAAAAATCAGTAATTCTACAAGATAAAAAGATCTAGCCGGGCTCGGTGGCTCAGCCTGTAATCCCGCACCTTTGAGAGGCTGAGGTGAGTGGATTGCCTGAGCCTGCGGGATTGAGACCCGCCTGGGCAACGAGACCTCATCTCTACAATAAATCAAAAAATCAGCCAGGCGTGGTAGCGCATGCCTGTAATTCTAGCTGCTCGGAAGGTTGAGGCGGAAGGATTGCTGGAGCCCAGCAGGTCGAGGTTGCGTGGCCAGGAGCGGCCACTGCACTCCAGTCTGGGCGACAGAGTGAGACTCCAACTCAAAAAAAAAAAAAAAAGATCTAATATGACATTTTATAATAACATACAGAAGTAATAGTTTTAAACAAGAAATCATCTTGAAACAATTTTTGGTAGATTTTTGTGAAATTATAAAGTATGTTTCTGTTAAATAATCAGCTATTATTATACTTAGAATCCCGACCGTTGTCAGTTCCTGTGAAAGCCATGTTGAATATATATGAAAGCTGCAGAAGCCCTGAAGAAAGAATGAAAGAGTTTATTGGAATAGTATGGAATGCAGTGAAGCATCTCACACTACAGGTAAAATACAATTAGAAATATAACGGCTCTAATTTCTATAATCCTTCTCATTTTTCAGCATTTTTTTCCATAGTTTAAAAAAATTTTTAATTCTAAAGATGTGGGTTACAGTTCAGGGTTAGGTATATAAATATTCATTATGCTGGAACCCTTGTTGATGAGGTGTGCCCTCCCCCAGGCAGTTTCCCACTGCTGCGAATCCTGCCCCCCACCCCCCGGCAGTTTTCCACTACTGCCAATCCCTTTCTTTTAGTGTTATGATAATTGTTCAAGGTCTGCTTATGAGTGAGAACATGTGGTACTTAGTTCTTTGTTTCTGTGATTGATCACTCAGTATTATAGACTCTAAGTCCATCCAAGTTGCTGTGAAGTTCTTAATTTTGTCCACCTTTATGACTGCGTAATATTCTATCAGGTATACACACACACACACACACACACACACACACACACACACACACCATATTTTTTTTTATTCAGTCCTCTTTCAATGGGCAGCACTGTTGGTTCCATGTTTTAGCTATTGTGAATAATGCTGCAGTAAACATGCATGTGCAGGTACTTTTTTCCTAGAGTAATTTGAGTTTCTCAGGGTATATTCCCATAGGGGGATTATGGGGTCATATGGAAGGTCATATCGACTTTTAGATCTTTTAGGAATGGCCAAACTGTTTTCCACAGAGGTTGTACTAGTTTACACTCCCAACAATACTCTGGAAGCATTCTCTTTTCCCCGCATCCTCTCCAGCATCTGTTGTTTTTTGAGTTACTGATGGTGGCCATCCTGACTGGAGTTAGGTGGTATCTCAGTGTGGTTTTAATTTGCATTTCTTTGATGATGTTTGAGGGTGAGCATTTTTTCATGTATCTATTGGCTACTCATATATCTTCTTTTGAGAAGTGCCTATTCATATCTTTTGCCCACTTAGTAATGGGGCTGTTTGTTTTTTTCTTTTTGGCAAGTTTGAGTTCTTTGTAGATCTTAGATGTTAGGTCTTTGACAAAGTCTCAGGGTATGAATAAATGTGCAAAAGATTCTTGCATTCCTATACATCAGCAATAAACAAACAGAAACCCAAATAAAAAGCACAAACCCATTCACAATAGCCACAAAAAAATGAAATACCTTGGCTTCTTTCTAACCAGAGAAGTCAAAGGCCTTTGAATGAAAACTCCAAAACTGCTCAAAGAAATCAAAGATGACACAAACAAAATAGAAAATATTCCATGCTCGTGGATTAGAAGAATCAACATTGTTAAGATGTCCATCCTATCCAAGGCAATCTACAGATTTAACATAATATCCATTAAATTACCAGCAACATTCTTCTCAGTTCTAGAAACAACAATAGAGGAATTCATATGGAAACATAATCACAAATAACCAAAACAATCCTGGGGGGGGGGGCGGGGAGGGGGGCAAAGCAGAAAATATCACACTCTGACTTCAAACTTTATTATACAACTACAATGATCAAAACAGCCTGGTATTGGTGCAAGAACAGGCATATAGACCAATGGAACAGGATAGAGATTCCAGAAGCAAAACCTCAATCTCAACCAATTCATCTTAAGCCTCCACCCTCAACCATTGGGAAGAGGAGAACCTAGTCAGTAAATGGTGCTGGGAAAACTGGCTGACCACATGCAGAAGATTAAAACAAGACCCCTACCCATCACCATACACAAAAATCAACACTAAATGAATCAAAGACATAAATGTAAAACCTCAAACTATAAGAACCTTAGAAAATGCAAGAGACGCCCTTATGAAAATTGGAACTGGCAATGAATTCCTTATCAAAAACCCAAGTGCCCATGCCATAAGAGATAATATAGACAAGTGGGACCTCATCAAACTGACACGCTTTGCAAAGCCAAAGAAATCATCAAGAGAGTGAGGAGACAGCCCACAGCCTTGTTAATATTAGTAAAAATTTTCCCACAAGTAGCATGTATACTATCTTGTTTTCATAACTTTGTTGTGAAAATAATTGGTGTATTGTCTTTTTAATGAACATAATGATATGAAACATGTTCTTCCTGATAGTAATCAAAATATACACAATTCGAGATGTTCTTTGAATTTAAAAAATGTTACTTTATTATACTCTTTCCTTCCTTCTTTCTTCGTTTCTCTCATTCCTTCTTTCTTTTCTTTCCTTTTTTTTGAGAAAGCAGGATTTTTTGAGAGGACAGAAAAGCTCCCAAAGTGGGAGGGATGCTGAGGGGGTTTCCCCTTTCTTTTCTCTTCTCTTCTTCTTTTCTTTTCTTTCGTCTCACTCTGTCATTCATGCTGGAGTACAGTGGCATACTCACAACTATTGCAGCCTTGACCTACTGGGCTCAGGTGATCTTTCCACCTCAGCATTTCCAAGTAGCTCGAACTACAGGTGTGCGCCACTGTGCCTGGCTAATTTATTTGATTTCTGTTGTACAGACCAGGTCTCGATAAGTTGTCCATACTAGTATCAGGCAATCTTCTCGTCTCCACCTCCCAAAGTGCTGGGATTACAGGTGTGACCCACCATGCCAGACTGTTCCTTTTAAGAATTATTTACAAAATTTTGCATGCTTAATGTTCATATAGATCATATTCTTATCTCAGTACTGAAAAAATTGAGTTGAAATGAAATTAATGTAAAAGAGTTATGTAATTATTTTCCCCATCTAATTACTAATTAAATATGAAAATTATAGCTATTTCCTTACTTTATTGTTATCAATTTTTTTCTTATTTTTCACTTTTAAATGCACATAGTTTGATCAAATTTAATTACCTTCCTTCCTAGATCATGTTTAAACTATGAAAATATATAGTTAGTTGCTTATCTGATCAGCTAACAGTTATAAATTTTAGTTTTGTATAGGTTTTTTTCTGTGAGCAACATATGAAAGACTGATACCATAGGTTTCTTACAGAATGTTATGTGTACTAGACAGTAATATCTAAGCTCTAGATCCTTTCCCTTCTACTTAAGATATAAAAAGTTGTAAGATAAAGTCACTTAGCCGGGCTTGGTGGCTCAGCCTGTAATCCCGCGCCTTTGGGAGGCTGAGGTGAGTGGATTGCCTGAGCCCGCGGGTTCGAGACCCGGCTGGGCAGCGAGACCTCATCTCTACAAAAATCAGCCGGGCGTGGTAGCACATGCCTGTAGTTCCGGCTGCTTGGAAGGCTGAGGCGGAAGGATAGCCTGAGCACAGCAGGTCGAAGCTGCTGTGGCAGGAGTGTGCCACTGCTCTCCAGTCTGGGTGACAGAGTGAGACTCCAACTCAAAAAAATGCTTTGGAAAGTAAGAACTGGTTAGGCCCAATAAAAGAAAAACAGTATACTAAATTATTATATATATATATTTGTATGCTATGGTAGATAGGTAATATACATATACAAACATATACCCACACACATATATATTTATTATATCTAATCCTTAATAAAATTTTCCTCCCTCCCTCC